CCCGCCCCGCCCCGATCACCCCCGTATAGCGCAGTGCGGGGGGAGCGCGGCGGCGGCAGCAGCAGAGCGCAGCAGAGATACGGGAGGGACCCGAGTGGTCGCGGCCCGCACGCAAACAGGCGACTCTGTGTGCGTGTGTTGTGTGCCCGTCTGCGAGTGTGTGTGCGAGTGTGGCTGTCGCTGTGTGGCGCCGTGCCAGCTCGCGGTCCGCACGCTCGGCCCCGCTCTGCAGGTGGTGGAGGAGGAGGAGGTGGAAGTGGAAGTGGAGAAGGGAGAAGGAAGGGGAGGAGGTGGTGGTTGAGGTATGCCCCGCACGCGCCCCGCCCGCCGCCTGCTTGTCAAACAAACAAGCCAGCAGAAAGAAAAGCGGGAGTCTGGGTTTCCGCGAGGCGCGAGGGTGGCGAGGCGGAGCGTCGGCGCTCGTCGAGCGCGGCGCAGACAAATAGAGGGGTGTGAACGGCGGGGCATTCTCAACGACGTGAGGCGTCCTGCAACACGGAGAGAAAAAGAGAAATAAAGTAAAGAGTAACTCCTGCTCCTGTCGTGGCCTCAACGATTTTTGAGAATCATCGCGACTGCGTACTCATTGTGTCATTTAGAAGTTTCGGAAAAATATAGGGTTTTTCCGTTACTAGTGGGCCGTAGGTAGAGAAGTCCACGATAGAACATTCTTCCTACACGAAAAACCTCTCCTGAGGAACTAACAGCCACAGGCATAGGGAGCGCCCTCAGCTCTCGGCTAGGACCCGCAGCCAGACCGCCACACCGGGGGCACGGTAGGCGGGGCCCGCGGGGCCCGCGGGGGCGGAGGGGCGCAGCCCACGGGGCTCAGCGGGGGCCACGTCGTAAATTACTTGTATCCGCAACATGCGAGCGGCACAGCGGCCCGGGCCGCGGCGAGGCGGGGAGGGTGGGCATGCCGACGGGGCCGCAGTAGGGGTCACGGAGCAGTCAGGGACAGGAGTAGCGAGGGGCGCCGGGTGCGAGAGAGATAGCATGGCCAGAGGGGGAGCGAGGGTGGAGGGGTTCTGGTTCCGGCCTGTTGGCGCAGGCGAGACACGTAGGGCCGCCGCCGGGTGGGATGGCAGGCAGGCAGGGTGGGCTCCCCTCCTCACCCCGACGTCCGCCCGTCCGCCTGCGGGCCGTGTGGTGGCGGGGGTGGCG